TTGGTTAGAGAAATCAACTGGGATGCCTCCTAAACTTCATAGCATTTATTCTTATTCAGCGTTTAAATTGATTGGTGATAATTTAGCTTTGCTATTTTTTTAAAAAGAAAAACCTCTAGTACTGTACTCCACATGTTTTCGCAATCAGTAAGTATGCAGATAAAGTTCTTTCTATTCCACTTAGCACAATTTTAAATTATCAGCAAGTTAAGTATATTCAACTGCTTATCTACAGAGAGGCATGTAGGACTCCAATTAAGTTTACATGGATAAATGCAGATTTGTGTTTGCAGACGTCAAGATGACAGAAGCTTAATACTGTAAAAAGGCTAATCAACACTGAATATGTTTAGTGTCAGTAAATATTTATAGTGAAAACATTGCCTATGGTTTTGTGCCTTGGCATTCCAAGTTCTGATTTTTAGTGAGTAAAAATGTGGTGTGATATCCTGTTTATAAACATGCTATAAAATTTTCGTTTTCTATAAAATTAATTTTATTGTCTTTTTCTTCTTTGTGGTTTTTTGGGAAGACGGGTTAGGAGTTAGCCTACAGCTTGTAAGTTAATAAAAAATGTGGTATATTTAGCAAGGTTCTAAGGCAGATGTAATCCAGAGAATGAGGAGGGGAAGGGGGCAAGATAACGAGATGGGTAGTATGAGGAGTAATTTCTTCTGATTATAATTTTATTTTTTTTAATGAGAGCCGCTTCAAATAGTCGTTACTAATCACCTCTGGTCAACAATGTGATTGTTTGGTGTGCTCATGTATTTGTTAGGCAATAACTACAGTTTAACTGGAAGATTAATTGAACCTCAGGAATATGTGTTTGTTTTATATAAAACACATAAATATATAATTGTTTAAAATTTCATTAGATCTCCAGAAGTTAATTGCTAGTCTGCTCTCTTTTACAAATGTGTTCTGGAAAATAGTGTGTCAAAATTTAAATCCAAGAAGTACATCTTAAACTGAGCTTCTACTGATGTAATATTGTATGAAGAATACAGCCAAGTGAATGAAAAAAAAAAAAAAAGAGGTACAAGGAACATTGATTATTATTTTTTATTATGTTTTGACTTAGAGAAATGAAGAATATAACTGTAACTGTGGTTCTGCATCAGTCTTAACAGTGTAAAAAAATGATGCTGAAGTGAAATTTTGTTTTCTGGAGGGGAAATAAATTGATATAGTTGAGGATTTTGTTTGTTTGTTGGAAATGTCATGGCTTGTCAGGTTAACAAATGTGATTTTGTTCCTGGCAGACTGCAGACCTGGTCAAGAAAAAGAAAAATTCCCTGAAAACCACTGCAACATAAATACAATATACTTCAGTTTAGTGTCTAACTTTGCATGAAATAAGCACTGCCTGTTAGCCTCTGTTTGATCCTGTGAGAGTGTGGGGCTAATGTCTGGCCAGTGTTTTGGAAGCAGCAGGTAGTCAGGAGCAAGCTGCTCTAGGGGTCCATAGTTCTGTAGCCTAGCAGTTACTCACACACAGATGGAGACCTTATGAACTTTGACAGAGGTCATGCTAAATTGCAAATCTAAAACTTCTAGACTTCTGAAGGATTACACTGATACTTTCTTTTTTTTTTTAAAGCCATAGGATTGGGAACAGTACTAAAGGTATCAACTCAGTTTTTGAAAAGTAGATCAGCCACACAATCATTGCTCACATAATGATCATGGAGACTGATAAAGATAGCCTTTTATGATACTTTAAAGGAAAACTGTTGCATATTAAATTTTTAATTTACATATATAAAATATGTATGTTATATTGCTTCCCAAATGCCTAGGCTTGTCTGCTCTATTGAACTTGTTAAAGGAATTTTGGAGCTTAAAGCATTGCAGAAGCCTCTGATTTTTCTGATGCATATGAGTTGGAAATAATTAAGATACTCATAGTATTTTTTTTGATTTCAGGTCTTTTGGGGCAGTCAGTTGAAACACCAAGCTCTCTGTCAGCTGTCATCAGCCATCATCTCACCAGGGATCTTATAGCAGTTTAGGAAAGAAAAACATGAGATGATCTGGTTACACATTGTAGTGTGTTTAAATCCTGGATTCAGTCAAAGTCGGGGAGCACTGAAGAGCTCCTCTTTTGTCTTCTAATTATAGTCCTGAAGCTGTACTTAACAGATGAAAATCTCTGTGATATTTCAACTTACTATTCAAATGGGAAAATGTGGGGGGATTTTGTAGTAGCCAAAGAAGGACTTTATTTGTTTCCAAGTTGTAGTCGTTTAGCATAAGATTTTTTAAAATTTTTTTTTTGTTTAGTGGAGATACAATGTGAGTTTCATTCAGTGTTTGTGAAATCAGGGTCCATGAATAACTATCTAGGTCACAGACAGCAAGGAGGCTGATCCTCTTCTAATCAAATGGTCAAATTTTTATCTTGTCACCATTGAACTGGTTGTGTAATGTGCTACTTAATGGCTCATGCACTAATCTTTAAAGCTATGACTTCATGATTCAGTGAGGCTGAGTCTGACTCTGTTGAAAGTGGTTTCAGTGACGGCCACACAGAGAGCTTGAAAATTCACACCAGCAGTAGACTGTAGGGGAAAAAAAGCTTTAAAACTGTTTGAACTGGTCTGCATATAAAATAACAAGAATGTTATTCATGCTTCTAAACTGGAAAAACACAAAGGGAGAAGATGGTAGCGCAAAAGAATCTCCTTCTGTAGCCCCAGCAATTCGCAGTTGCTGTACTGCTGGTGTCTTTGCTTTGGTGAGATTCTTGATAGGGGAAAAAAAATCCAAGTAGCTTAATTTGCAGTTGGGAGACCTGATTTTGCAATGAATCCTTGTTCAAGTTATTTTAAACTAGAGCTATTAGAAAAAATCTGCAAATAACTTTCAGAGTCATGTCCTCACTGTATTAATCATAATAACTTGTAAGTAAACATACCTAAACTTAAAGTTCAGAATCTTGTGCTTTACAAGAGTTATGGGTGCACGGACAAGTTTTTACAAGATAAACTAGTTTGTGATGTGCTCTGCATTTTATACTTCATGGTGTGCACCTAACACCAAAGTTCATGTGAGCTGGCAAATGCAATGTGATTTGGAGCTGCCTGTCCCTCTGACGCTGAGAGGAAAGAATGTGAATTACTTTGGATTTCCTGAAGGGTGAGAATGTGCACACCCCGAGGTTGGATAACCTCTTTCCTATAGCAGCTTCCTCATTTATCCATACCTGGAATAGATGCAACAGCTCCATAAATTTACAGTTTATGCTCCTGAATTGCATGTCTATTTCAGCTTCTCTTAAGCAATGTTAATGTTTATGAGGCAGTGTTATTCTCTAGTCATGTTGGGATCGAACTATCATGGCTCTTCAAATTTTCTGTTACAATCTCTTTCCAAAATTGAAAAGAGAGTTGAGATAAAGATAGTGGTTTTTCTCTTAAACTTTTTTTCCAGAGATGACCTGTGTGCTACTCAAAAGAGGAAGTACCTTCTCTTTGAAAACTGTTTGGAGTGCAGTAGGCAGAACATAATTTAAATTATTATCTGGGGATTTATTTCTCTGGGATTTTTTTGCACCTCCTTTCCTCTCCCACCTCCTTTGAAGACTTTTGAAGTGAAATGACTTTTAATGACCATCATATTCAGTGCTAAACTGGAAGCGCTTCTGGCAAAGTGCAGTTTGGCATTAAGTTACTAACTTGGTTACACTGCCACATTAAATTGGAAGAAAAATAAAGCTTGGAGGATTTCAGAAAGTCATCTAGTCCCACTGCCTGAACTAAGGCGTACCAACTATACCTGCATCCTGACAGGTGTTTCTTTAACCTGTTTTTAAATGTTTTCACTGACTCCAGAATCTTTCCCTAGGCAATCTTTTTCCAGTGTTAACTATCCTTAGTACGTATCTTGTGCTGACATCTACTCCTGATTACTTTTTTTTCCAGCCTACACTGGAAATGGGATATGGTTTATTCTTTTCCTTGCTAAGACAAGTTAATCTTTACTCATCTGTGAGGAAGGGGCAGAGGACTTTGTGTTGTGTGCAAGTACCACACTGACACTGGCAGCATCCTTTGAGCTCTGTAGCTTTAGATTACGTTTGTTAGGAGTTGTCTTTCTTTGTTGGCACAAAAAGTAGGGGAAAAGAAGGGAAAGAAAAACATGAAAAAAAGAAAGACAGGAGGCAGGCTGTGAAGTGAAATGAAAGGCAATGAAGAAATTCAGAAAAAAGAAAAAAGTATAGTCAAAGAATTGAAGTACAAAAGTGGCTATAAGGGCTCTATGATAAGTAATTTTTTAATTAAGGAAAATGTTTTTCGGGGGCAAGGGGGGTGCTTTTTGCCTAACAGGGTCATGGAATGGTGCTAAAGGTGGAAAGGGCATTCGATAAAAGAATTGGCCAGGCAAGGTTGGATAAAGGTATATACAGAGCAAGCAATATATTTCTTTGTTTTGTAAGTTGCATAGGAGTTTCTTATGACTTATAAATGATAAAAATGTTATAAAATTATGTATAAGTGATAAAACTTTTTACTCTCTTTCATTACCGTGATTGGAGTGTAACATGGCGCATATCTTCCACAGGAGCGTGTGTATGTAAGGTGGCAGGATGACAAGGTGGACCAGGGTTCACTGGAATTGTGCTGACACTTATGGTCATGACTAATCTGTCATTTCAAGGAGATGGCTCTGGTCTTGCCTACATCTGCTAGGACTGAACCAAAAGTCTCTTGGTTGTGCTTGCTGTCATTGACTTAACTAGGTGTTTGAGTTAGGCTTGCTGAGGTGAAAGTTTGGAAGGTTTACTTAATTAAACTGAGTGTTTAAGGAGGGTATCTTGAGGCAGGAGTGCAACAAACCTGGTATATCTGCATTGATTACATCAGTTCTATGGTCTCTAAGCTGTGAACAAGTATTTATTCTACAAAGATGAGAGCTTGTATTTTTACAAGTCCTCTCCTACTGTAATTTGTGATTAATATGTTTACCTGGTTTTGTATTGATTTTTTTGTTTTCAGGTGTGGCTCACAATATTTCTTTACTGCGAGAAGTGATCATCCATCCACGCTTTGTTCAAGGAGACATCAGCACTAAATTCCTTCCTGAAGTCTATCCTGATGGTTTTAAAGGTTTGTTCCATTTGGGAATGTTTCTTTTTTTCTTGAGAGGTGTCGTTTCTGATTATTGTTCCTTTACATTTATAGACTGACAGGTTCCCAAATCAGTCTTTACTATTTTTTCCTCAAATGTATCTGTGCATACACACAATTAGAGTTTTTAAATAATGCATAATATAATTGAAACAGTTACTTTACTTTCAAGGAGGCAAAATACATACTTGTAGTGACAAAATAGTAAATGAAGTACATCCAAAGTCAAGAAAAACAATTTGTAGGTGATATGAAATATGTAAAATAAATATCGATTCAATGCTGCCATGCTATTGTGCTTCATTACAGACAATGCTCCTACTATTAACTAAAGATAAGATTTCTCTTTAGTCAACACTATTGCTTCTCCAGTGAGTTTCTGCTGCATCTTTAGAATCGCTTTTGGCACCCTTTGTATTCACTGTAGCATTGTCTGGAGCATCTGGCATTTTATCGGAGTATTTCAGTAACCTGGTCTTAATACTCATTACACACAGTGATGGGCATCACCTTGAAATTATTAACTCATACACTAGGTTAACGTAAACACATATGCAAATGTTTCTTTACAACAACTCAGTTGCAAAAACGTATAACAACAGTTGGTAGAGAAATGTAAGTAAACTAATAGATTGCTTTCCTTTCACAAGGATCAAATGTCAAAAGGTGGTCTTCTCTCTCAGCCAACCTGCTGTAGATGCTTTCTTGACCTGTGTGGTCAGAGACTCAGTCCTTCTACAGAGACCTCACACCTCAGCTGACATTCATCAGGCAGAACCTCTCCCTTATTAAAAAAAAAAAAAAAGACAATGTTTATAGCTCATCATTCATGGGTCCTTTATGAATCCCATGGAGATTCCTTTCTCCCCCATTCATCATTAATCCAATGTGGCAGAATCCTCACCCCACTTTGGAGATGACACTGCCAGATTGGCAGTCACTGGACATGACTGGCATCTTGCCAAATTCTAGTCTCATTAAGGAGCACAACAGATTTTTCCTTACCTCAGGAGTCAGTGTGTGAGTTTGGTGCAAAGAATGTTCATCCATAGAACTACTTGATATCATGGTGTAACTGGCAACTCTGCGTGCTACAGTCCTACACGAGGGATTGATGCATCCAGCTTGTTATTGGCTCCAGACTGTGACCAAAGCAATAGGATTTAGTCACTTTGGGTGACAGTAAGCTTGTGATGGTTGGAGCTCAAATGTTCCTTTGGCATCTTTGCTAAGGTGTACTTAACTAATCTTCAGGTAACTCAGCTGGCTTTCATCTGGCGTAGCCTTAAGGGTACTCTGATCTGCTCTGAAGGCTCAGTGCTGCTGATTAGCGGGTCTGTCTCCCTCCCCTGACACTTTAATACAGAATCCCATGTCCTGTCTCTTTGATGGTTCTGGGACTTTTCAGTCCTTTTCCTCAGTGGATTCAGTTCCTTAAACCACTATAAACCTGCATTTTTTTTATTGTTGCTGCTTTTGTTGGGGTAGGTTTTTGAGAGTTCTTGGGTTGACTTAGCTCATGAAGGAATCTGGTGAACTTCAGGGGATGTGCAAAGTGAGCGGCAGGCTGAGAGTGGGGAGAAGGGAATGGAGGAGAAAGGCGAGGATGCAAGATGTTAGATAGGTTTACACCATGTTGTGAAAAGGCAGCCTCACCTCACACACAGCTGGGAACAATAAAACCAGAAACCATTTTACCCTTATTTGTGATAATGTATCTGGTGGGGCCCTGGGTCACTTGTAAGAAGCTGGGACAGGTTTTACTGACCCAGGAGGAGACCTCTTGCTCTGCCATGGAAAGGCACTCTTGTCTTTTGTTCTTTTGTTCTTGTTTTAATATTTCATATTGGAATGTTAACCTATATCTCATAAGTTAATTACTTGTTGGTCCACAAATTGCAGGATGACAAGAAATTTGTTTTGGGGTCATTTGACATGAACTGTGTATGCACATATATGTGTGCACGTACATACTGATGCAAATGGCTGATTACTGTCGCAGTCTGAGGTAAACAGTAATATTGTATTAACAAGGTCTTAAAGATAAGCTCTTGTTCTAGACACCAGAAGACACAAGAAGAGATATTGTGACAGTTCATAATAGAAACTAATGAATGGCACACAAGAAATGACTAGACCCTGGTCCTGCTGTATGAAAAGTCTTGCTTTTCTTCCATACATCAAATACAAGCATACATTAGCCTTCTTAATGATAAAAAAATGCAGATATCATTATTACAAAGCATTTGTATTTCAAGTCAAGAGTACTGATTCAAAGCTCACTGAAGTAATTGAGAGCCCTTTTAATGATGTAGTTTGCTCTGGATCAGACCCTTCTGGCTTAAAAAAAAAATCGGTGAGTTGAATTAGAGGATAGTTTTTTAAGTACGTATTGAAAAATATTTCTGCAAAGGCTCTAGTGGGAACTGTTGAAGCAAGCAAGGGTGGTGGGTGGATGATGGGTAGAAGCTCAGCAAGAGAAACAAAGGCAAATTAGCTTATGTGATTATCAATTCAAATTAACTCTACTCACTTCAACTAACTTTTTAATATAAACACCCAGGGTAAACTTTGCTAGGAGGATTTGAAAATTAAGTAGCTTCATATATCTTAATATTGTTTATAAAAGACATTTAGCTGTAAAAGAAATCAGGGATAATCTGAAAAATTAGGGCAATGTGTAGCCAAAGTGGATTTGGAAATGCCTAGAAATAGGTGCTGCTGTTAACAGTAGGAATCCATACCAGAAGTGTTTTAAATTTGGAAGACTTAAGACATAAAAAAATTTCAGTGAGGATGTGTGCTATATTAATGCTTGAGCACAGTCCAGTGTGTTTCTTTTATAAACTACACAATTGTCACTGTTGGCCTACATTGATGGCAAGTAATGAATGTCAGCTGTGTTCTTTCTGGTGACTGCATGAAGTACTGGCCCATTTCTTAATGCGCATTTGTCTTCAAATATAAATATTAACTTTAGTCTTGCTTAAGAGTTAAGTAAGAGATGCTTTGTTTTCCAGGCTCATTTTCAGGGGTTTCATTATAAGTCCTTTATTAGAAGGCTTTTACTATAAGTTAAGAAAAAATTAATTATTAGAAATATCTTGGCAGCTTTTCCATTAACCTGTGATGCCCACTTCAAATTACATTTAGAATGGGAATGTTTAGTAATTTTCGTGATTAGGGTTTAACTCTTTTTCTTCCCTTCTTTAAATAAGCACTCATTAACAAAACCAATTTGTTTATTGCAAGTTATTTTAAAATATTGCTGTGCTGAAAGTAACCTTGCTCAGGGTATGATTAGTGTGGGAAAACAGCTGCTGCCATACCCTTTTGTTGTCTGTACGAGGGATGGACGGCTAGAATGCCGGCTGGCAGTGGGTCAGCTGGAGTGGGTCATTGCTCTGAGCACATATGCGTGCTTTGGGAGGAGTGTGGATCTGAGGGTGTGTGCAGCAACCCTGATTAGGTCAGGCGACACCAATACATCTGTCTTAGAGTGGCCTCCAAGCACTTTGCTCACAGAATAAAAATGTTTGCCAAGCATGCAGGAGTAGCCCATACTCCTAGGTAAGAGTATTGTCAGATGAGCTGTGCTTCTACAGCTTCCAGGCAGCCTGGGATGTCTCTGTTCCTTCCTCTGCACCTCCCGCATGGTGAGAAAGGAATATACTATCTATTATCCCTATTTTGTAGGCACAGAAAGTATCTCTGTTTTCACAAAGATCCAAGAGGAGTCTTTGACAAAGAACAAATTAAACTCCAGGATCCTTAGGTTAGTATCCTAAGGTTAGCATCCTATTCATTGGTTCATTCTTTGTGGTTCAGTCTGTCTCACAGTTAAGTTTTTCCTGGATATCTGTTATAATATTGAGATTTATTTTTTTTTAGTGGTCCACTCCTCCTGGTTATTAAATGATGACACAAGCATTTGAGATGTGGTTTAAACCCAGCCGGTAACAAAGCACCACGCAGCCGCTCACTCACTCCCCCCACCCCGGCCACGGCCCCAGTGGGATGAGGAGAAAATATAAAGGCAGGCTCGTGGGTCGAGATGAGGACAGGGAGGGATCACTCACTGCTTATGGTCACGGGCAAAAGACAGGCTCGGCTTGGGGAAGAAACAAAATCAATTTAATTTGCTACCAGTCGAACCAAACCAAGGATAATGGGGAGTAAACCCCAACCCGAGAGCAGCTTCCCCCCCGCCCTCCCTCCTTCCCGCCTCAGCCCCACTCCCGGTTCTCTCTCCCTGGGGAACAGGGGACGGGGGCTGGGGTCGGTTCCTCCCCCCTTGTCTCTGCCGCTCCTTCCTCCTCAGGGGGAGGAGGACTCCGCGCTCGGCCCCTGCTCCGCCGTGGGGTCCCTCCCATGGGAGACAGTCCTCCACAAACTGCCCCGGCACAGGTCCCTCCCGCAGGCCGCAGTCCTTCAGTCCCAGGCTGCCCCAGCGCGGGCTTCCCCAGGGAGCGGCGGCCATCTTGTGGGGCACCCACCCCCTGCTCCGGCGTGGGCTCCTCTCTCCCCGGGCTGCAGGTGGGCATCTGCTCCCCCGCTCCCCTCCGTGGGGATCAACCTCCTCCCCTCACTCCCTGACCTCGGGATCTGCACAGGGGTTCCTCTCACACCCCAATCCCCCGACTCCCAGCAGGTTTCCCCTCTGGAATCTGTTCTCCCAGAGGCGGGTCCGGCTCCCAGCCGGGGAAGCTTCCAGCAGCTTCCAGCAGGAGCCGTCCCTGCCGACCCTCACCCGCCACACAAACCAAAACCAGCTTGGTTGGTCACTTTTGGAGAGATAAGCTGCACAAATGAGAAATGGGGCATTTTCCAAGAGGTTGTCACAAAAGTCATACCACAACACAGGGGAAAAAAGGAAAAAGAATCCTTTACTTCCCCTCTTCTAGCATGTTTACTTCATTTGGGTGGTGAGGAAGAGCAGAAGTTCTGATGGACAATCCTTTATGTTAACTGATTTCTAA